TGCCTGAGGAAGCTGGGGCACACCTCATCAACAAGGTTACCTGCATATGTGCCCTCAATTGTACCCCACATCTTTAAAAGAAAAAAAAAGTTAAAAAAAAGAAAGAAATCTGGATCTATAGTTTCTTTTGAGATATTTTGATAAATATTAAATTTTCTTCATATGTGGTCCTTCACATTTCTTATTTCATCTTGAATCAGTTTGGTAAGTTGTGTTTTACAAATAATTTTATTTTTTCTGTGGTGTAGATTTTGCTAGCATATATTTACTTATCATATTCTATCATCATTTTAATGTCTGCCGTCTCTAAAGAGATTTTCTTTTATCATTAATGTGGTAATTTGTGTCTTTTCTCTTTTTATCTTGATTGCTATGGGTTAATCAATTTTATCAATTGATCAAATCATGACTATATTTTTTTCCAAGTCTTTGAACATATTTTTATGTCACAACTACTTAAAAATTCTCATCTGAAATTTCCAACCTCTGTGCTATTTCAGAATAGGTCTCTGTTACCTATTTTTCCTGTGTATGTTAATTTTTTTTTTTTTGAGTTGGAGTCTCACTCTGTTGCCCAGACTGGAGTGCAGTGGCCGCTCCCGGCCACCGCAGCCTCAACCTGCTGGGCTCCGGCGATCCTTCTGCCTCAGCCTTCCATGTAGCTGGAACTACAGGTGCACGCTACCACACCTGGCTCATATTTTTGATTTATTGTAGAGATGAGGTCTCGCCAAGTTGCCCAAGCAGGTCTCGAGCCCGTGGGCTCAGGCAATCCACTCACCTCAGCCTCCCAAAGCACGGGATTATAGGCTGAGCCTCCGAGCCCGGCTTGCTTCCCATGTTTAACAATTTTTTTTATTTCAAGATTGAAATTATGGATGCTACATTGTTGAGAATCTAAAAATATATTTTGCCATTATTTAGGGAGTGCTGAGGTATTTTTATCTAAAAACATAATTTATAGGCAGATCAGCTAGATCCTTCAGGAACTGGTTGAGCTTTAATAGTGAAGTTTTAGCGTGGCTTTTACTCTAGGAATGGGGTAGCTCTTCTCCTGAGGTGTGACCCCTCTGTGGTGCCAGTTGTATTCCGAGGAGTTTCAACAGGGTCTATGTGGTTGGTCAGAATTCACATCTCCCAGGACTGTGTAATTGCCAGAATCTCCCTTCCTCTCACAGCTACCCGGCAGTTGCTCTCCTAGGCCTGATGGAGACTTTCTCTATGCATCTGCTGTCTAGTATTCAACCAAAGACTTAATGAGCCTCATGCAATGTTTGGAGGTCTTATTCTACACAGCATCCTTCCATACAATAGCTTACTGCAACAAACATCAGCCTTGTCCACAGTCCTGAACTCAGTCTCTGCCTCTCTAACCCCAGCAAAAACGTCTGTGCCCTTCTTGGGCTTCATACTCTTTTTTTTTTTTTTTTTTTAAATCTGTTCAAATAGTTTTATATTTTAAATTTACATATAAATAACTTGACATAAAAGGATATCAACAGGTACTCGAGAGACATTACTCAGTATTATTTGAACAACTTTAGATCAAGATATTATATGTTGTTGAACATAATTAAGTTCTCCTTTCATGCTTTCTCATTCTGATTGACTTATTTTTATAATTACTGCCGATTGGTAAGGTTTGACTTCAATTCTTTGCCATTTCAGGAGACATACAGGGAGAAACAGTTGAGAGAGGATTGTTTAACATTAGAACCTGTCCGATAAAGAGTTCTAGCTCTTAAGTTTTCTGGCCTTAATTTCCTCACTTACAAATCAGAGATGATATCCACCTCACTGATTAATGAGAAAATATATGAGAGCACTTTCTGCAGGCTTACAACTGTACCAAGGCAGAGACTTGGGACAATAATAAAATTCTCTTTCTCTGTTTCCTCCTTCCTAGTGATAATGACCCTGTACCGCCTGTTGTCTAACGTCTGAAAATAGTTGCCCTAAATTTTTTTTGTGAAGTTTGAGAGTGGCTTATGGAAATAGGATAACTATAGTAACAATTATTCATTTTTACCCAAAGCCAAAGTCCCAAGAAAAATCATCTTTTAGGTTCTTGATCCATATTGTCAAACTAGCAAGAGTGACCCTTTGACTAGGCTCTTAATCAAATTGGTAACATAATTCATTTTTAAGTGCTCTCAAATACCTTTTTACTAAAGTTATTTGTCTGCATATTTATATTAATTTTTCTATTTATATTTTCTCATTCACTTGGTTTGTTTTTTTCTTAAATTGTTGGTTTGTTTTTTTCTTAAATTGTTATCATTATGGTAAATCTGGATGAATTTTTGGATATCTTTTAAAATTTATTTCCCTAAATTTATTTGTTCCCTAAATTCCTCAGGAATTTAATTTATCCAGTGATGACTTACTCCCAAAAGAGAATATGATGTTCTTATCTTTGTCATGAAAATAATCTATAATCTTCCATCACTACACACATTCTTTGAAATATATTTTTCATGGCTCTTTTACTCTTCTCTCTTTTCCCAAATACTGAAATTCCATGTAGCATAGGCCGAAAGTTTCTTGGTGTCTTTTGTGTCTCATTGAATGGGAATTATTTTGCAAACATTTGTGGGATTAAAATGATTCAGCTGTCATATCAAGAGCTCCAAGCTTTTTTAAAAAATGAAATCTTACTGCTCTTTGCTGTAACCAGATAGTACAATCCACTTAGAAAAGAGCAATAAAAAATTAATTTGAATCAAGTCTACGTCAGACAGCAAAAGCACAGCTAAATAGAGGAGGCATTTTCTCAGCAGTTCTGGATGAAAGAGGTTGTTGATGGCTGATAGTAATTTTGGGGACAGCAACAGTGAACAACTTTTCTATGCTGCTTTAAGATGTGAATAATAATGGGAGAGATAGCATGTTGGATGTCCAGGGGAAAGGATTTTTGAAAGAGAGGTCTAGTTCATGTAATAGAGATAACATGCATCTGCTCAAGGTAAGAGGACACCTGTTTTTCCCACATCTATTGAGTCTTTGAAGTCTGGGACAAGGATGGCACCATATTGAGTGGTAGTATTTTCAATTTCTAAAATTTAAAAATGACTGATACGCAGAATATCTTTGGAATTTCTACAAATTATTAAAAAATGAAGAATTCCCAATAGAAAAATTGCCTGATGATACAGATAGATCATTTTGAGGGCAGAAATCCAGGACCAAAATCACATAAAGAAATGCTTAAACTCATTAGCAATTTAGAGAAATGTAAATGGGAAAGGGAAGAAGAGAGAGAACGTTATTCAGCTTTTTAGACTGTTGCAAGTTATTAGTATAGTAGAATAAAGTAATATTTCTCTCTCAGTTTCTATTAAATGTTTTTATGTTATTTACTTTTACTTAAATTGTCATCTGTATCTTTATGGTAAACACTGATAGTGTTCTGGAAGAGAGAGAGAGAAATAGAGATTGGAATCTCTGCATTGCCAGACTGGGAACAGTCTAGATCAATGGATAATGTCATAAGAAAGTATTAGGCTATGGGAGAAAGATTCATGCACTTTTATGTGGAATTATAGACTTATACAATGATTCTGAACAACTCTCTAGTAGTATTTAGATACATAAAATAAAATATATATAGTACTTCATATTCTAGCAATCATAATTCTGGGTACATAATCTTATAAAATGATCACATACAGATCATGTAGGTCTATGAAAGGATACATACACTAATTTTCAATGCTGGCTGGAAACTGAATGAAAATTGGGTGTCTTGAAGAAGTGGGTGTGGAGTACTGTGTATTATTTGGAAGTAACAGACTGGATGTACATACAGAAAAGTGGACATTTTACTTACTTTGAACTGACTAGAAAAATCTAAGGCAGAATCTCATCCACAATAAAAAAGCATTTAAGTGATTTTAGATATACACCTACATGACTACAGTTGAGTGCTCCAAGGGAAAGTTCATGGCTGGATCATGAACTGTCTGTACTTTCTTCCAAGATTTTTAATCCAGTCTTAGAAGAGCCAGGGTTGTATTTATCAGTGTGATGGGATGATGACAACTGAATTTGTGACCATCTTATTCTCACCATAAGGACTTGGGGGAAAAAAGAGAGAAATACGAGGAGAGAAAATCATGGAGCACCCAAAATAGAAGAAAAATATGAGCTAGAGAAGCCATTCCAGAGCTTGACCTCAGTGCTTTTTCAGAATTGTCCATCACTTCTTGACTTTTGCTAAACACCCGTTAGCCTTGTATTAAATTCCATTGTGGCTTAAGCTAGTTCTAGTTAATTTCTGTTACTTCCTTCTAACCTGCTTCCTGAGTTGGGTTCATGGCGAGTTTGTGCACTAAGAGGAACTGACATTTCAGCACTGTGGACTGACTACTGGCACAGAGATACAGTGCTGAGTCTCTTGGTTCAGAGGATAGGATTTCCAGGCTGCAGGGTGAGTTTGAGAGGCACTGAGCTGAGAATCGCTCCTTATCCTTCTCCATTTGATCAAGAATTCTTTCGTTCTGAAAGTAAATAAAAAATGTAAGCTCTTTATTCTGGTTCTGTTGATACCAGTAAACAAAAGTATGTCCTTTTTGGGGAATGCAATCCATCTTGGCCTTCTGTCCTGTCCCTTTTACCAGATGTCCTGGAGTCTGAATAACTTTGGCATAAAAAGAGCCTGTAAGAGAACAAAGCAGATGCTATAGACAAAGTCCAGGAAGGAACAGACAAAGGAAAAGGCTTGGATTTGGGGATTGACAAGCCAAGGATTTTTCTTTTGTGCCCAGGACTCACCTGCTGCCAGGAGACAAAGGGCTGCACAGCAGAGAAGCCTTGTGCCCATGGTTGCATCAAAGTAGAAAAAGGATGAGACTTTTTCATCCCCCATAAAGTGACTTTCTTGTGACGTGGTCCCTTTGCAGACTTGTAATCATCGTGTTACTGAGAAAAAACACTTCAAGGCATCCAAAGGAAATCTTTTATCCTAACTCAGTAAATATAACTAATTTATATTGTATTCATTTAAAAAGACTTTGTATCTATTTTTACTAACATAAACAATACACATATGTTTTTAAAGGTTAGAAAATAAACAACCCACCATACTACTGCTGGACAATGAATACCACTTTTAACACCTTAGTAGTTATCATTCCAGATTTTTTTTTCTCTCTAAATGTGTACATATATACATAGAAACACTCTTTCTGAATAAAAAATATTCTTTAAAACTCTCCCCCCTACCCAGTTAATGATCAGCATTCTTCCCTGTCCATGCATTTTTATTTTATCTGCTATTCAGGTTTTATTCAAGGTTTCACAGTTGTCTAAAAATGTTCTTTACTGTTAATTTGAACATTAGGACATTGTCTCTGGGTATTAGTCATTGAATTATCTTTCAGTATAATACAGATCCCTGTTGTTGTTGCTTTTATGATTCTGCCACTGTTTTGCAAAATAGCTCAACTTTTACCAATTTCTGGTGCATTTTAGCCTGTTCATTTACTACTGTTTATTTTATATTTTTCTTCCCTACTTTTTCTCTCTATTAATTTTGTATTGGAGTGTTACTGTGGTCGCTCAGGCTGGGGTCAGTGGCATGATCACAGTTAAGCCAGCTTCAACTCCCTGGGCCCAGGCAATCCTTTGACCTCAGCCTCCGAAGTAGCTGGGACCACAGGTGTGTACCACCATGCCTGGCTAAGTTTTTTTGGCTTTTTTTTTTGTAGAGACAAGGTCTTGCTATATTTTGCAGGCTGGTACTTCAACTCCTTTGGACTCAGGTGATTCTGCTACCTCAGCCTCCCAAAGTCCTGGGATTACAGACATGAGCCACAGCATCTAGCCTAACTACATAGTTTGCTTCCTTTTTATGATTTTCTTTCCTTTTTTTTCTTACTTTTTTCTTCCTCCACCCCATCCCCATTCTAGGTAATGCTAGCTGCTTAATGTATATCTTTCCTTGGCTTTCTCCTTATTCCTTCAATTGTTCAATGAGGTTGTTTTCTCCACATTACAAAATTGACTTGGAATATATAGACAAAAATTTGATAATATACCAACAAAATGAGAACTTGAACAAACAACTTGGCTTAGGAAATGAAATATTGCCAGAATTTTTGAAATCTCTTGTTTCTTTTCCCAGATCCCATGCTCCATGTTCTCTAACTCTTTTGGGGGGTTTGTTGTTTTTATCTTTCTTTGCTTCTCTCTTACATTTTAATACATTGGTGTATAACTGAACAAAAATAGTGTTTATTTGATATGCTTTTAAAACTTTACACAAATGAGATGGTGCTGTTTATGTCTTCTGCAATATAATTTTATAATATAATTTTCATTCAAATGTATAAGTTCAGTTATGTTTATGTGTGTAGTTTTAGTTCATTAATTTGTTCTCATCTAATTTTTTTGATTTTTTTTTATTGTAGAGATGAGATCTCGCCAAGTTGCCCAGGCGGGTCTCGGACCCACAG